TTGTAGAATGTCAACAGCTAATAAGTGACAAGGGTAGGGCTATCCATCCTAAGAACCCACATTCTGATCCACCATGTTGGGTATTTGCTGAGATACCCAATCTTGGTTCGAATCCCAGCTCCTCCACTTCCTAGCTGTGTGACTTTGGACAAGTTACTCAACTTCTCTGTGCCTTCACTTCTCTGCCATAAAAATAGGCTGGTGGTTGTAATTTGTTGGATTGTGATAAGGTTAAATGAGTTTACACGTGCAATACATGGGATGGAATGGGCTGGGATAGGGTGGGGTGAGGTGGAGTGGGATAGATTTGATAGGAAAATAAACAGGCCTGAATTCTGCCTCTTTCGATTTCCTCAGTTTATTTCTCTTCTGGGTGTGCGCAGTCTGAAGCTCCATGACACCCAACCCTGGTCTTCTCTGGCCTCTCAGGCTCTGTAAAGAGTCCGTTCCTGAAAGCTCCCGGACACGCCCAGGAGCGTTGTCTCTGGAGCTGGCCTCCACATCTGCGTGTTTAACCAGCTTCCCACCTGACATCTACTCAGGCTGGCGTTGTGACAGGTCCCACCTGAGAGTTAGCTGGGGACAACTTCACCGTATGGGCCTCCCAACTGTATAGCTCCCGTTGCCTAGCAACCAGGTGAGTGTTTTTTTTTTTTTTTTTTTTTTTTAAGTTTACACCAAAACAGAACCTTCACAGGAACAAATCAAAGAAGAAAAAGGTAGCAAGGGCATATGGTTTGCGTGGGTGGAGGAAGGGGAATAAGAATATTGTTAAGTCTTTGGAGATCAATCTAGAGTATGGACTTCCCTGGGGTGGTCAGATGACCCCCTGGATGATGGTGCGTCCCACCAAGACACGTGACCTGAGTTTGACCCCTGGAACCCCCCCCCCCCGGGAAGGAGTGAGCTCACTTCACAGAGTTGTCCTCTGCCCACCACGCATGTCTCATCTCCCACACACACTCACACACTCACACATTCACACACACACACACACCTTCCAAATACAGGCACAGGCTTCCAGGTATGGGCACACACCCATAATCCCAGCGACTTGGGTGTTGGAGGCAGGAGAATCAGATTTTCAGTGTCATCCTCTGCTACACTGGAAGTCTGAAGCCAGCCTGAGATACAGGAGGCCCTGTCTCAAAAAAAAGAAGATAAACCAGGCGGCGGTGGTGACACTCGCCTTTAATCCCAGCATTTGGGAGGCAGAGGCAGGCAGGATCTCTGACTTCAAGGCCAGCCTGGGCTACAGAGCGAGTTCCAGGACAGCCAGGGATACACAGAGAAAGCCTGTCTTGAAAAAACAAAGAAGGAGAAGAAAAGAAGAAACATCCATTTCCACCCCCCTCACTTTACCCTTTGCAAAGTCAACAAAAGGGTAAAACCAAGGACCAGGGCTCTGAAGCTGGCTCCAGGGTTAAGAACATTGGCTGCACAACCTTCAGGGCCTGAACTCGCATCCCAGCCCTCAGGAAACAAGCCGGGTGTATTTTCATTCTCCCCCGTAAAGCCAGTGCTGGAGAGGCAGGCTGGAGGATGGGGGCTTGCTGGCCCCAACCTATCTGAAAAACATGAGCTCTGGGTTCAGGAGAGAGACTGCCTGAAAGGAATAATAACTCCCTGGCCTCGGAACGCACAGGTACGTGCAACCACATACACAGGTGTGCAGACACCACACACACACACACACACACACACACACACACACACACACACACACACACCAAGGAGCATATTTATAATTGGTTGAACTATAGTATTTAGCCTGTGACCTGAGGGTCACTGTCTCAGCTCTTCCTTAATTTGCTGTCTGCAAGATCTGAAGACCCTCGCGGTGATTCTCTCCCTTCGTGGGGTGGGGGCGTGGGAGTGTCAAACGACCCCTTCACAGACGTCAGGTATCAGATATCCTGCCTGCCAGATATTTACGTTACGATCCATAACAGTAGCAAAATTACAGTTATGAAGCGGCAACGGAAATAATCTTATGGCCGGGGGGTCCCCACGACATGAGGGACTGCATTGAAGGGTCGCAGCCTTACAAAGGCTGGGCCCAGTGTGGTGCGGGACTAACCTCCAAGCCAAACCGCTGCCATCTCCAGGCGTTCAGGTGATCGTCACAGCTGGGCTGGTTAACTACTGGCGTTCCCTCGCACAAGGGGCGGGGGGATGGGGAGAGTCATGGGGCTCTCACCTGAGTCGCCAGCCACCCCTCCCAACCAGTTGTAGTTGGAAGCAGCCGGGGGCCGGGGGCGGGGCTAGAGTGTGTGTAGGTGGAGGAGGAGGTGGGGCCAGGGTTCCACCTAGGCAGCGGTGAGCTCAAGCTTCACTGTCCATGCTTGGGTGCCAGGTACAGGCCACGTGGCTGCTTTGAGGTCCCCTGCGGCTCCTGCCTGCAACCCCTCACCGGTGCACTGATCTGTAAGTCAGCCTCAAACACTCCCCTGCAGCAGAACCTTGGTTTGTCATCGGGCCCTTGGGGGAAGAGGCAGATGTTATTTAGTTCTCCACCCCTAGGGAGAGAATTCTCACAACACCCAAGGCTGTAGGTGTCCCTCTACAGGCTGGGACAGACACAGGGCTCTGTCCCAACACTCCAGAAGGAGCATGGTTTATCAGTACCCCTTCTTTTAGTCCCGTAAGTCTCACTAGGAACTTCCAGCTTCTTGAGCTGGGTAATCAGTTTGAACGGGATTTTTGTTTGTTTCCTTGGTTTTTGAGATAAAGTCTCTTGACATGGCCGTGGCTGACCAGGAACTCACTCCGTAGACCAGGCTGGCCTCGAACTCACAGAGATCCCCTTGCCTCTGCCTCCCGAGTACTGGGAGTAAAGGCTTATGCCGCCACCACCCACCCCCACCCCCCACCCCCACCCCCCACCCCGGCTACTTTACATTGTTTTAAGCCTCTACATCAGAGCTAATTCTCAAAAGCAGCATCAGAAAGCTAAAACAAAAGGCTAGTGATGTAGCTTGGTGACAGAGTGCTTGGCAAGCATGCATAAGGCCCTGGGATCCATAGAAGACCTTAAAGGGAATGTAGAGGGAGGAAGAAGGAGAAGGAGGAAGGGAGGGAGGGAGGAGGCGACTGGGTTAGTTTGTTATTGTTGAAGTGTTTCCTTACTGTCTCTAGCTTCTGGAAGCATGATAAATTCCTTGGCCTATGGCCCAGCTTCCCTCAAGCTGGTGTTTCTCAACTCTGGGCTCTTCTCTGACCTTTGCCCTCCTGCCCCCTTCTCCTGAAGGCCTGTGTAATGACACCAGCCCCAGGTCACTCAGCATAAGGTCTGTCTCAAGCTTCCGAACTTCAGCATACCCGAGAAGTCTCTTTCACCATTCCAAAACCATTACTATCCGTCAGTTTCTGGAGATCAGCCTGGGGACATGTTTGGGGACTATGATCCTGACTGCCACAGCCCGACCCTGACTCCTAAGGACTCTAGTTCCTCCCCATGTGTAAAAAACACAGCCCAACTTGTCACTTTCAGGATTCATCCATTCAGTCAGAATCCAGTGGGGGGACAATGGCCAGCAGAGAGGAGGGGAAAAATAATGGAGAAGACAGACAGGGCAGTTAAAGAGGATGGTGGAGGAAGATGCCAGGAATGAGGTGACTCCAGGAACACCCAAGGAAGGAGAGAGGGTCAGACAAGCCATAAAGGAGAAGTGAGGCTGGCTGGACCAACCATGTATCTCTCTAAATCCGGAGAGACCCTCGAATACCCCAGCAGAACATTCCGCCAACTTTTTTCCCCCCCCTGAGACAGTGTTATCTGTGTAGCTTTGCACCTTTCCTGGAACTCACTTTGTAGACTAGGCTGGCCTCGAACTCACAGAGATCCTCCTGCCTCTGCCTCCCGAGTGCTGGGATTAAAGGTGTGTGCCACCACCGCCCGGCCCATCTGCCAACTTTTTAAAAGATGTTCTTTTTAGTTATGTGTGTACGAGTGTGTTGTACAGGACTACCCTGGGAGCCAAACAACCACCATCATCATGAGTTCAGCTGTGTGTGCTCTCCTACCAAAAATCATCCCACGTGGACTTGTTGATTCCTAACCTTCTCCCATAGGTCTCAGGGGAAGCCGGGTGGCCTGGGACTCGTACCTGCTCCTCCCAACCAAGTGTATTCAGCTCTGCCCTAAATGCAGGGGGTCTAAGCAGGGGGCTAGAGTATACAGTCTAGAGACACTAGGGAAGGGGCTCCATCGACTTGGCCATAGGGAAGTCATCAGCCACGCTGGGTACACACCCTCCAGCGTGACTGCTCTAAGTCGGCGCATGCTCCTTCCCATAATGCCTTGCTTTACTCTGTAGGTGAGCCTCATAAACCCATCAGCTCCCCATTCGGTAGAATTATACCTCTGTTTGTCATTAGAACCTTAGGAGGAGGGATAGATGATGTTTACGTCTCCACCAGAGGAGGGATTTTAGCAACAGTGTGTGTGCTATCAAATCCCCCAGTGCTGGAGTTACAGGTGCTTGTGCGCCATCTGTCATGGGTGCTGGGAACCAAACTCGGGTCCTTTGCCAGAGAAGCCCGTGCTCTTGACCTCTGAGCCATTCCTCCAGCCCCTCAGTTGATTTTTTTTGATGGGACACACCGTCTTGTACATGCTGGGTGGGGATTCTACCACTGAATGATATCCCTAGCCTCTGATTTGGTGGTGGTCATGTTTCGTGTGTGTGTGTGTGTGTGTGTGTGTGTGTGTGTGTGTGTGTGTGTGAGAGAGAGAGAGAGAGCTCAACCGTAGTTCACATTCCCCAGGGACCATCCACCTTATTTTTTGAGATATGCTTTCTTACTAGCGTGGAACACCCTGCCTGATTCCTTCAGGCTGGCTGGCCTGAGAGCCCCAGGGACCCCCTTGTCTCCACCTCCCGAGTGCTAGGATGACAAGCACTCGACGCCATACTTGACATTTCTTTGCTTCTTTTTTTTTAATTATTATTTTAATAATAATAATTGTTTTCATTTTTATTCCTAAGAATGTCCATGCCACAGGCTTGCAGGTGCCAGAGGGTGTCCGATCTCCCGGAGCTGGAATCACAGGCAGCAGCTCCTAGCTAGCTGCCTGGTGTGGGTGCTGGGAACCGAACTCACGTCCTCTGGAAAAGCAAGCATGGGTGTTCCTAACTGCTAAGATGTCTCTCCAGCTTCTTCTCCTTTTCTTTCATTATTAACGTGAGTTCTGGGGCTCAAACCCAGGTCCTTATCCTTGCAAGCATGTTACATACCGGGCTGTCTCCCCAGCGCCCTCAACCCTTGATTTTTTTTTTGAGACAGACTATCACTAGATAGCCCAGGCTAGCCTCAAACTCTCAGTCCTCTTGTCTCAGCTTCCAACACCCAGGATCACAGGGTTGTGACACCACGCCTGGCCTCGGTGACTATCTGAGCCTTGCTGAGTGGCCGTCCTTCTTTCCTGCACATGCCCACCTCACAGGAAGGGCTGTGTGCAGCGTGGAGCTAATGAATGCGACTACGCTGGGGGGGTGTCCCTCCCAAGGCCCCCTTTTCTCCTCCTTGGGAAGCACTGACCAACTCCTCTGTAAGTATCCCCTTCCTCAGATGAGACTACCAAACAGGATGAATCCCAGACCTTCTAACTCCAGGGTCTGCCTGGGCCAGCGGGAGAGTTCAGCAGTCACGGTCCATTCTGTCCGGTCCAGAGAATGATCTGTGGCAGCCATGATTTGGGTTATTTATTTATTTATTTTATGTATATGGGCATTTTGTCTGCATGTAAATCTACACCCCAGAAGAGGGCATCGGAGCCCATAGGACTACGGCCATAGACAGGTGTGAGTCACCATGTAGGTGCTGGGAATTGAACCCAGGTCCTCTGGATGAGCAGCCAGTGCGCTTAACTGCTGAGCCATCCTTCCAGCTCTGATTGATTGATTGATTGACTATGTATCCGGGCAGTGATTTGGGTTTTGACTAGGTAAACAGCCAAAATAAAAGAATGAGGGAGAGGAAACATAATATCATCAGATCGGGCTCTCAAACCATCAAGCTGAAATGAACTGGGGAAGTTGAGGCTGTGAGCTGGAGTGTCCGTCAGAATTTCCCTTCCTTCCACAGCTGAGCTTCCAGCCTCTCTCCGTGGCAGGCATCTTTATATCATGAGATAAGTGATAATAACCTCTGTGAAATGCTTTGCTCCTGGTGCTACCTCAAGGGCACTGTGTTCTTACTTTTGCCCTGTTTTGCTGTCATAGAGTTAGGGAGGGCGAGCCTGTCCCTAGACAAGGGGCCTCGGAGGACACTGGACAAAGACACACTTGAGGTAGAGGAGGGGACCCTGCTTCCAGAGCCAGCTTCCTCGGCGGGCTCAAACAGCACACGACAGCGTCCCAACATAACGTACCTTACGCAGACTCCTAGATGTATGGGCAGATGAAAAGCAGGGCCCGGGAGGCAGAAGGGCTCATCCAGTCTGAGATCGGGGACGTGTGTCCCTGCATTCTGAGCAGGCTCTGCTGGAAAACAGAATTGCCAGCAAAGGTCTCAGGCAGGAGAGGAGCGGGATTCAGAAAAAAGAAGAAGAAGAAGAAGAAGAAGAAGAAGAAGAAGAAGAAGAAGAAGAAGAAGAAGAAGAAGAAGAAGAAGAAGAAGTGCGCTCGTGTGTGTGTGTGTGTGTGTGTGTGTGTGTGTGTGTGTGTGTGTGTGTGTATGCACATGTGCGCATGTAGTTGTCTCTCAGTATGGGAGAGGAGGATGGCAGGGGAGGCTCCCTGAGACACCCCAAGTCTATGGTTTCTCATGAAATGGAGGAAACACCCGGATATGCCCCCCAAGCTCTGTGGGCTATGAAGTCACTTGCTTTTAGCTAACTTGAAAAGTCACTGGGTTAGAAGGTCACACAGCTGAACTATGTGTCATTAGTCTCCCGGACTGGCTCTTCTCACAGCAACAGCTCAGATCACGGTCGTTTAGGTGACGTTTCGAAAGCCGGGAAAGCCGTCCGTCTGTTTTCAGAATCGCTGACTCCTGTTTGGAGCCAAGCACTCACAAATCACTTAGGCTCAGCATTTTGGCCAGTCACACGTCCTCGCTTGGACGGTCTGTCGTGCGCTGCCAAAAGAGGCCAAAAGCCTGGCTCGTTTATGATATGAACACAAATATTTAGAAGGCGGTTTAACCACATGTCCGTTGGACAAAACATGGGTAGCAGATTTCCCTAACCTAAGGCCTCCCCGACATAGGCAGCTTTTGGCCAGTGCTGTGGTGTCAGGAATGTATTTCCTCCCATAGAGCAGGCCTCAAGTCCAGCTGGGATCAGAGGGTGGGAAGGAGTACCGTGGGCCACTGTCTTCTGGATGGGACATGGCCATTGCCATGGTGAACACACAGCGGCTGTGACTGCCTGCGTGAGGCTTGGAGGAGAAAAGAAAAGGAAAAAGTGTAGAGGAAGGACAGGACTACGTGGTTAGGGAAATCTGCCACCCATGTTTTGTCCAACGGACATGTGGTTAAACCGCCTTCTAAATATTTTGTTCTTCAAACAGGGTCTTGTGTAGCATGGGCTGGCCTCGTACTCACCATGTAGCCAAGGATGACCTTGAACTCCTGATCCTCCTGCCTCCACCTCCCAAGTGCTAAGATTAGAGGTCAGCACCATTACAGCAGTTTATTCATTGCTGAGGGTAGAACCTGGGGACTGGTGCATGCTAGGAAAGTGCTCCATCCACTGCGCCACATCCCAAGCCCATCTGTTGTTGGTATTATTGTTTTTAAATGAGTTCTTATATCCAGGCTTGACCTCAAACTCTCTGTGGTCCTCCCTCTGCCCCTATGAGTTTCTGGGATTACAGGCATGGCCACCGCCACATCTGACTTTTTTAAGTATTTTTGATTCCCAGTTGTTTGGTTGGTTGGTTGGATCCACGGTGTAGAGGCCACTGAGGGCCGACTGTGTTTATCTTGAGAGCAAGGGACCCTGATGAAGGTTTTGTGGTGGGTTCCAAGCCTCTCTCTACCCGTATTATGGAGATTGGGTACAAGACAAGATTGTGTATCAAAGCCCAAAGCTAAGATAAAGAGTCCCAAGCCCACAGTTAAAGATTACGGAAGCACTCCCACATACAGTCCCAAGCCCACAGTGGAAGATAACCAGAAACGTTCCCACATACAGTCCGGTGAAATATGTTCCCTTTCTTTAACAACAACGGGGCACTGGGGAGCCAATGGGATGGAGAAGGCAGGATGGGGCCTGAGATTTCTAGCTTGTGTGGGTGCCTTTATCAACTTGGGGGGTGGGAACTATTAGCTTATTACCGGAGCTTTTCAGGTCAAGGCCTGGATCTTAGCAATCTTTACATGCTAGACTCATCCACTTGACTCAAACACCACCAACTGAAAAGACAAGCTATGAAAACACACAGAAAAGGGGGCTGGAGAGGTGGCTCAGCGGTTAACAGCACTGGCTGCTCTTCCAGAGGTCCTGAGTTCAATTCCCAGCAACCACATGGCGGCTCACAACCATCTATAATGGGATCCAATGCCCTCTTCTGTCACGTAGGCATACATGCAAGTAGAACACTCATATACATAAAATATATGGGCGAAAATAGAAAAGAGGCTTATTCGGTGTAGACACATGGGGAAGAGGAAAAAGAAATATGCCAAGGCAGTCTTGGTAAACTGACATGGTGGTTAAGATAGATTACCTGTGTTTTTTTTTTTAATTTAGTCTCTAAGTGCATGCCTGTGTGTGCATGTGTGCAGAGGAGGACAGATCTGGAACTGGAGCTACAACCTACTGTGAACTGCCAAGATGGGTCCAACCTGTCTGTTAAGCTGTCAGAACTTTGTGAAATCCCTTCCTATGGATTCAGTTCCCTCTATGGCTGGCTCCAGGGCTTCAGCCTTTCCCTTTCTCTGGACAAGGGGGTCATTTAAATTAATTGAGGAGGCCGGGCGATGGTGGCACACGCCTTTAATCCCAGCACTCGGGAGGCATAGGCAGGCAGATCTCTGTGAGTTCGAGGCCAGCCTGGGCTACAGAGTGAGTTCCAGGAAAGGCACAAAGCTACACAGAGAAACCTGTCTCGAAAAAAACAAAAAAAATACAAACAAATTAATTGAGGTCCATTGTTTCAAAGGCCTACAAGTGTCTGTTTTTTTAGAACATCCCCTCCCCCACCAGGGTGGGTGATGCTCTCAGGACACAGTCATGGATCTGGGCAGTTTAGCTAGAGCACAAGTATGTGGCACTGATTGGTGATTGATTGGTTTATTGATTGATTGATTGAGACAGGTCTTTCTATGTAGTCCTGACTGTGCTGGAACTCACTCTGTAGACCAGAATGGCCTCCAACTTACAGAGATCCTCCTGTTTCTGCGTCCCTAGTGCTGGGCTTAAAGGTGTGCGGTGTGCATCATCACGCTTGTCACATGTGTGTGTGTGTGTGTGTGTGTGTGTGTGTGTGTGTGTGTGTGAGAGAGAGAGAGAGAGAGAGAGAGAGAGAGAGAAAGAGAGAGAGACAGACAGACAGACAGACAGAGAGAACTCATTTTTTTTTCCAGTGTTGAACCTCTCATATACTAAACTACTTCCCTACCACAGCTTTACCTCTTAAAGCGTTTTCTTGTGAAATGTGTCTCTACATATATTCTCTGTCCCTTTGATAGGCAAAGCTTGTATGAGTGCTTTCGTCTTTGTTTTTGTTCTATCCAGGTGAGCAGACTACACAGCGTCCCTCTTAGCCCCTGCAGTTCAATGACATTAAAAACATCCCCTGCCTGGATTTTCTTATTGCCTCAGAAGGTCAGCATTCATTAGGTAACCCAAAGGTTGGAAGAGATGGCTCCGCAGTGAAGAGCACAGGCTGCTCTTCCAGAGGACCCGGGTTCAATTCCCCTCACCCACCATGGAGCTTACGCCATCTGTAAGTCCAGTTCCAGATCCGCCACCTCTTCTGGCCTCTCTGGGTACGAGGCACACATGTGGTGCACAGACAGATGTGCAGACAGGCACGACACCTATATATAAAAAATAATTTAATTTTTCAAAAATAAAAGTAACCCCCATTTTCCTCCTTCCGCTTGACCTTAATAACCTCAGTCCTAATTCTGTTTGATAAATTCATCTTTCCTAGCAGTTTTCTATGAGGGGATCATGTAGAATTTGTCCTCTTGTGTTGACTTTTCCGGGCATGCTACCCTCAGGGGTCACCTTGCTGTAGCAGCAGCAGCAACAGCAGCAGCAGAATTCACATTTTATTTGTGGTTTGGAGGCATTCTGTCAATCTTTTTTTTTGTTTTTTTTTTTTTCAAGGCCTAAATAAGTTTCTGGCCAGAATCATTACCCAGATTTTTTTTTTTTTCAATTTTTTACGAGCCTGGGAAACATCTCCTTGAAAATATAAATATCAAGGGAGACCCTGTCCCTGCCTCCCTGTCCCCAGGGAGAGTTTAGCTGGGCTCTTTGTTCCCAACTGTAACCACCTGTGTGATAAAGAGATGAAACGTTTTATTATTTCTTGATGCACAGGGCAGCTGGCCAGCTTGATGGGTCCCGGACAAGTAGGCCAGTTTAGGAGGGAGGAAGCAAGAATGTGTCTCAAAGAAGGAGGTCATGTCTTCTACCCAAGGACAAGTTATGGTGAGCCTTGGGAATTGGCAAACGAAGCCTATGCTCTGTGGCTAGCGCTTCCCGGATACAGAGCGGGGTTGCCACGCTGACATCTCCTTATCACCTTCTCTGTGATGGCGGCTCACTCCGTTTGAAGCTTGTTCGATAACAAAACCGGTTTCTTCATTTGTATAGAGCATTTTGACTGCCAGATTTTTTTGGGGGGGTTCCTATCTCCCCAGTGACTGTCTTTGATTATCTTTGGCCATCTAAGAGCTGGTGGCAGGCTGCACAATGAAGGGACAGTCACTCCTGATAAGCTCACTGATCAGCAGCTCCCGGCTGCAGGACGGATGGCTGGAAATGGTTTATCCAGGTCTGAGCAACACCAAGGATGATTTGCAACAGCTTAGCGTGTGTGTGGGGGGCAAAGCTGGGGGAGCAGTCCAGGGCCACAGCGGGAACCAGGCAGGGGCTGAGGACAGAGAGGCTTGTGGTCTGTGGAAGCCAGGTTTCGAGGGTCCAGGCTGGAGCCAAGTATCTCCAGCTCTAAGTGCATCATGACTGTCCAGCTGCCTTCTGTTCTACCAGTGTGGGGCCTGCAGAGAGGTCCTCTGTCCTAACTCAAATGCAAGCACCTGCAGCCGCCACAACCACTCTAGGTTGGACGCGGTACTGCACAACCCACGTGCATCTACTCACTTAACACCCCTAGCTGCCCTAGTCAGTAGGTAGGTTATTCTTCCCATTTTACAGATGGGAAAAACTGAGCCTCACATAGGCTGGGTCACTTTTTCTAGCCCAACAACTGGTTAGACCTGTGCAGTCTGCACTAGCTTCATTTCTGTGCTTTCGATAAAATTCTGTGATAAAAAGCAACTTAGGAGATAAAGGGTTTATTTTAGCTCCCATTTCCAGGTGATAAGGAAGTCATAGCAGTGGGGATCTGAGACAGCTGGTTACATTACCTCTGTGGTCAAGAGCAGAGAGAAATGCATGCATGCATGCATGCTTGTGCTCAGCTAGTTTTCTCTACTCTTGCACAGTTAAGGACCTCACCCCCTTGCCTAGGGACCGCGCCGCCCATAGTGGGCTGGGTCTTCTCACACCGGTTAACTTAATTAAGGCAAACCCTCCTCCACTCACAACGTGCCACAGGTCATCCTCGTGTAGACAACCCTTCACAGAGACTTCTGGTCCTGAAGGGGGGGGCTTCAGATCAGAGAGGAGACACATGCTGAAGAAATGGTTCTATAGGGAGCAAAGGATTATGGGAGGCAAGGAGAGGAAGACAGCCATCAGAGAAGCCAGGCTGGAGGGTCAGCAACTGGAAAAGGGGAGGTTTGGCTGAAAGTGCATCCCAAACAATGAGAGGCACCCAGGAGAAGGATACCAGTGGGAGGAAGGAGATAACAGCCATCTGGGCTCTGCTCAGGCTGGAGGAGGAGGGGAGAAGGGCCTCAACCGCGGACAGGCGACATTTGTCCCTTTGTAACAATGTTAGGGATTTCAGATTTATTTCTAAGGACCATAGAGAGCCATGGATGGCTTGTGGGGGACCTGCTGGTTCTGACCCAGAACATCTGACATGAGGGGAGTTCTTTACTGTGGCCTTTGTAAACCTTAGTCAGGAGCCACAGTCTTGAGATTCAAGGACTCCGGTTTTATGCTATCTGTGTTCCCGGAGACAGGCTCTAACAATGAACTGAACTCAGTTTTGTCCACTTGTTTTTCTTAAAGGAGAGATGGAGATTGCCTGGCAGGTAAAGGTGCTTGATGCCAAGCCAGATGGCTTGGGTTCCATCCCTGGGACCCAGGTGTTGGGAGGACAGGACCAACTCCTCCTCTAAGTTGTTCTCTGTGGGGCGTTTACCCACCAACCCCACAGCTCCCCAGAGTTTTCTTGAGTGTGAGCAGCAGGAAATATTAGATAGAAGGATTTATATTGTGGAGAATATTACGGAGATAAACAGATAGAAAATAAAGGATAGCCTCGAGAGGGCCTGGAACCTTTTCCAACGGGCCCCGACTATCTCTGTCCCAGGGTATTTATAGAGATGCCATGGGGTGGAGCAAAAGACCTCCTCCCCAGCACAGCCAAGTGCAGACCATCTCAGACCCCTGCACTCAGACCCGTGGTCTTAGTCATCCTCTATGCAGACCTGCTGGGTAAAGCCACGAGGGACCCGAAAATGGGCTCCCACAATTCTCTGACTTCCATATTCATGCACCACCCACAGAGGAGCACAGGAAATAAATTAAAATGTGAATAATGGTGCTACTAAAGATGCGACCTAAGGTTCTCCTCTGCCCTTCACATACATGTGCACACATATACACATGCATTAAGAAAATAATAGAGCGGAGGCTAACATTGAAAATACCAACTACACCTGTTGACAACACCTGCTTTAGAGGTTCAGATCCAGATCTTTGTTCCTCATGATTCAACCAGTGGCTCATGTTTATAAGCCTTGGTTTTCTTAACTGCAGAATGGGTATGCACATGGTAATTATTGCATTGCCAGTGAGGGCATATGCATCCCCAAATATGAAGGATTTTTGAGTGGAAGACAATTGAAAATGGACACCATAAACACTTCTAATGCCACACCCAGCACTTGGGAGGCAGAGTCCAAAGAATCAGTGGCTGAGGTCATTCTGGACCCTGTCACATACAGGAGTGCTCCTCACCATCCTTTGATTTGCCTAAAAGCAGGACATAGATCCGGGGGTTAATATTATTTCCCCACATCATCAGAGGGCTAAATAGGAGTTCCCAAAAAGCAAATAGTATGCTTGGCCCAGCACCCACTTGAAAACGAGTTAGTCCTGGGGAAGGCCAAATTACTTCCAGAAAGTGCTTGGCACAAGAGAATAGATAACCATTTTTGACAACTTAATTTGGGGACTAGGGATGTAGTTCAGTAGAGTGCATGCCTAACCTGCACAGAACACTGAGTTCCGCTACCCCGCCACCCCACCCCCACGCCGCCTCTTCTGAAATACATCTTGGTGGTACGTGCCTATAATACAAGCTCTTGGGAGATGGAGGCAGATGGAAGTTCAAGACGAGCGTGGACTAAGTGAGACTCTGTCTCAAACTGTAATATAGCCCAACTCTTTATCCTCCTGCCTCAGTCTCCTCAGCTGGAATTACAGAGTAAGCCATCGTGGCCGGCTTTAAGTTTTATTTAGTTACTGAGTGTGTTTGTACACTCATGTCATGATGCGAAGGTGGAGACCAGAGGACAACTTAACATGAGTCAGTTTCCAGTCTTACTATGCAGTTTCCGGGATTGGAACTCCGGCTGTCAAGCTTTCCTGCTGAATCATCTCACTGGCTCCCCACTCCCAACTTTAATTCTCCCCCCGCCCCCAAACAAGGTTTCTCTGTGTAGCCCTGGCTGTCCCGGTACTCGCTCTACAGACCCAGGCTGGCCTCAAACTCACAGAGATCCACCTGCCTCTGCCTTTCCTGGGTGTGCTGGGATTAGAGGCGTGCGCCGCCACTGACCATCCAGCAACACTTCACCAATTTGCGTGTCATTCTTGCGCGGGAGCCACGCTAGTCCTCTCTCTATCGTTCTAGTTTTAATATATGTGCTGCGGAAGTGAGCACCCAGCTTTTTTAAAAAAAAATATATATATATATATTTAATGCTGTTGGGATAATCAGGACCAGGGGGGCCATCTCGGCAGCCCGGGTCTCTCTTCCCCAGCTTGCTCTAGGCCCGGTGGGCGGGGCGCGGAGGGGCGTGGCGCCAGCCGGCCCCGCCCCGGGATGGGCGTGGCGGGGCG